AAAAATGCTTCTCTGCCTCATTTAAAGACAGGAATCTCAAACCACATCTCCCACCTCCTGTGGAAATAGTCCAATTCTTCCCTCACACAGGGAACACCTTAAAGCTGTCAAGTATTCTGAGTTCCTTGGTCTGTTCAAAAAGCCCCTCTTCTAATAAAAAGCCAAATGCTCATTATCATGGAATTTCAAACTGCTTACCTGACCCCTTCCTGTTTACAGTTTCCCAGAAACATCAGAAAGCTCAGTCATTCTCCTGCTCACTGTGCCAAGTCAGAAAAGGCATTTGCATGAGAAACATCCACTGTTACAACACAGTAGTAGACTGGTGCTATGTGAGAGATTTGAGATTTATTCTTAACCACACGGTGGGATTTTAGAACATCTCTCTCATGAGTACAGTCTCATCACAGAATCACTTAGCAGTGTGAAGACAGGGTCAAACTGGCTTTAGGCTCCTAAATTCAGGAAGAACCTTATACTTGAGAATCTTAAATGGCCACATTTCTATACAGAATTATTATTTAAGGCATATTCGTCCCCGCCCCCTCTTCCATGGCATTTCTTAATAGGCAATGCAGATAGATGCACACTTTTATCTTGTTAGCTCCTGTCCTGTGACATGTCAGAAGACTGCAGTGCGACTGGAATACTGTTCAATTAGGCACTGCAGCACAAAACTCCCTTTGTGCATCTAACTAAAAATCACCACACCAATGTAAAAAAAAGTTGCAGTGTGAACTTTCAACAGACATTCTATAAGATGATAACCTTGCAATTAATAAGGTAAAGATGACCAGTATATCAATTTCTTAATAAACAATGCTTGTGAATTAGGAGGCACTATTACAATATGAATAAAGCTGAGCCATTTACCATTCATGCTGGGCACACCTGCACTTACACTAACTAGGGATTACTTTCAGGCTAGGCAATATATTAATTATCCTGTTTATTGCTAATAAAAAAATTGCAGCCTGCCAACTCACCAAGGTAACATCCTATTTTGTCTTTGTTTCACAGGCCCTCAGGAAGATAAACAGCATTTAATTTTAAGGGGAGTAAGGGGAGGAAAAGGCAGTGCTCTGCATGTAGAGTGATGGTGAAAATGATCGTCAGTCCTTGGGTTTGAGAGGATTGGATTCTTGTATCTAAATCCATTTTCAGAGGCACACAAGAAAAAGTAGTAGTAGTTCACCTGACAAAAAGAAAGCCAACTGCCTTTATTTGGCAAACAGCTTATGAGATATCAGAGAATTTTAAAAAAGTAGTACATCAAAACAAAGATTGAAAACCCTGGATCTCAGCATGTATTTACAGGGTACAAACTTTATGTACACAGACTTCACAGCTACATAAACTACAGGCACATGGAGCATAATAGTCAAAGCTATAGCTGCAGAAGTATTAGAGAACTGAAACAGTGGTATCTGTGGGATTAAGGACAACAAGATTACCTACCCTGATCTACCACCCAAGACAGATTTTCAGGTCTTGACACTTGAATTCTTGTTTGAAATAGACCATATCTTGCTAATCTCTGCTATCCTTCAGCCTGTAGCTTTTAGTAAGTCTACTGAAGCCTAAGCTTGAATTATTTCTTTGCTGTCAAGAAACTGTCTTACTTGCATTATGAATTTACCAAACTTCTAACTGTTGAATCTCATACATTTCTTTTAGAGGTTGACGTACCCAATTAGCCAGTTTCTGTTCCCTATCTAATTTAGCCTGATCAAATTATCCTATGAGATAATCTAAAGCTAGGCTGTTATATCAGACCCTGCAAAATGTTGAATGGAATTCACAGATCCATAGGAATGCACAAGCCAAACTAGTATCAGATGAACTATAAAGCTTATTTGCAAAGCAGAGATTAATTCATCCCCGACTCCCTAACAGCATCAGAGATAAGCAGAAGTCAGTTCCATACCAGTTTGGTGTTTTTCACCCTACTGCAAATTCACAGTTGACTACTGAAAAAATAAATGCTGACTTGTAGTAGTATCAGCTCTCACAAGGGGGTGGCACAAGAAAATACTAAGAGCACTGTCCTGTGGAGCACACTGCTCCCCCAGTGTCATCTGCTTCATGCAAAAAGTAATGAAGGAGATCGCCTAAGAACCTCAAATAACCAAATTAAGTTGACTAAGACTTTACTCTCAAAAAAAATTTAAAAAAAATCAATGCTTGACCAGAACTTTCTACCTATATATGACGGGTCTTTATCAGAAGCATTGTTGCTATTATTAAAGTTCCCTCATTTGTTTTTCTGAAAGTTTATCACAGTTTATTACGTTGCATTGCACATATCAGAAATAATACATTATTCAGCAGCAGTTTTGGGAGCTGTCCAGAGGATGGAACAATGCTGAAATTTCAACTAAGTTAGGAAGTAATGCTGAGACTGTTATGGCAGTGTCCCAGAAACAAACATACAGATCATAATTGCGTGGCATGAGGCAAAGACAGAACTCTCATTACTTTCTCCCTCATCCACTGAAGTCTCTTGGACAACAGCAGCTTACATATGATGCTGCACCCAGCCACAGTCTGAGCAATAATTATTATCTCCCCTCTTATAGACCTCCCTCTGCAAGTCTTAGCAACACAGACCACTATGCTGGACAAGTTCTGGCCAGATAATTACCAATCATCCCCAACTACTCCAGCACGGATCTCATAATGGCAGTTTCTACATTACCACTAAAATTAGCTGTGCTAATTAAAACTGTATTTGCCAAAAGAACCAGGTTCTTTCCAACTGTTTTTCCTTTATCCCTAGCTAGGTCAGCTAAAGAAAGCATGATTTACAGTGCATGAGGACACCATCAATTACGGCCTACCACTGGTATCTCCTTCCTCATCAACAAAAAGGTGCTGCACAAATTCATGAAATCCACTTAAATAAGTTCCTCTGAACATGTCCTAGATATACCAACATGCTACAGATCCCACAAAACTTCATCCTCTGAATTACCTTGGTGGTCACTGGGAATCACTGGAAATTAATTCTATGTGAGTCATTCCTTTCCCATTTATTACTTGGGAAATTACTTAGAAATTTAAGGTAAGAATAATCTTTCATTGGGGAAACTGCTTATGAGTGCAAGTTATACAGAACTGTATACGTGCCATGTTGTATTTCCTGATTTTTGGACTGGCAGGTAGCTAGGACTGAAGCTGGCATTGAACAATGTCTAGAAAAAATATGCCTGGACAGCCTTGACTCACTTCTACAAGATCCTAGGACAACAGCAGCTTCTTTCACAGGCTAAAGGAGTTATGTGCCAATAATTATACACAAAAGCATACACCATGCTTGAACAGTGCCAATGAACTACGCAATAGAAGAGCAATGCTGAATCTGTCCAAAAGAGATTGTAAGCATTTCTGTCTGGAGAGAAGAAACTGATCACCTCTGCCCCAGCTATAGAACTGCATCGGGCCACAGCAAGAGCTGGAAACTGCTGTTGCCACCTCGGGGGCTCCATGCCAACTGCTAAAGTATCTGCATTTCCAGGCACTTCCTGAGAGCGGACAAGTGCTAGTGTTTGGAAGAGACTCTCAAGACAGCATGCTGAACATGTCCATTTACAATTGAGGATTCCTCTCCAGTAGAAAGCCTCCATGAAGGAATAAAATCAAGAGAGTGGAAGCTGTGTGTAAGCAAAGATAGTCAGCTGACATGATGCACTTAACTGGTTGGAAAACCATCTTTTCAAGAGCAGAGCGTAAGACCTTTTCCTTAGAAATGGTATCAGTGGCCCCTTTTAGGAAGAAAGCAAGAACATTTTAGTAGTAGTAGTAGTAGTAGTAGAGTTTTGTAGTATTATAGGACTGGCTTTCCTTCAGCATGAGCAGAAGGCATTAAAATGACTTTCCCAGCATTTCTACAAGGATGTACTGCAATTTAGCTGAGGACTCAACTTGCCTTTATCACTAAACTGGTTATTGGTGATGCCTGACTCAAAGTTCTTGATTAACTAGCTCTCTCCTTTCTCCCTTCAAAAATGGGAGAATTTTTCCATGCCAAATGGAAGACATTTATCCAAAGACCTCACAGGAACTATTGCTTCCATTTTCAGCATCTAAATCATAAAAAGCACAGAAAGCCAGAAGGAGAGAGCACTGTTGCAGTTTAGCAGCTGTGCAAATGCAGTCCAGGAATTTTGATGTTAGAACATTCCTTCAAAATGCACTTTCTTCACAGTTCATCCAAGCTACATCTCCAATCAGATCAGAACGCAAAATACAATGGCCTACAAAACATCAGCAAGCTTAGCAAAAAAATCAATGGCTTGAGATCAAAATACCTAAAACCCAACTTCAACACAAAACTCCAAATACTCAGAAGCTTTTTAATCCTGCTGTTTAATGCACTAGATATAACAACTTATTAAAAAAAAAAAAGGCATTAACACATTAACAGTAACATCTGTAGTCAGTTACCAGACCAGTCAGGGCTGGATCAAAATTCTTAGCTTGCCTTATGGATTAGATGATGCAAGGCTGCAGTGACTTCAGAAAATTCAGTGCATATCTCCTTTCGTTAACACAGAACACATACACACCTGGGCAGCCACCTTTAATCCCTTTATAAAGGGAAAAGCAGAATAAATGCACCTGGAGAGCAGGCACCTAGATTGGCTGTTTTCAGCTCTTCCACAGGACTTGAGTGGTATTCTATGGCATTTATCCATGCTACCAGAAGCAACTGTTGCACGTGTTGGGAAACCATCACGCACTATGGCAGTAAGACTGAACAAGCAGCAATATTTGCATGAAGTAGAGATTTACTGCTATGGTAACACTGGACCCCAAAGCCAGGTCATGCACAAGTGGGAAACACATCAGGAAACAGGTCTTTGAAAACAGAGACCAGAAAGAACCTGGATCCAGGTAAACGTAACACCCTAAAATAAAGACCTGTAACTGAATGCATGGAAGTGGTGCCATGTTTTCTGGTGTAGGTGAAAAATCATTAAGAGTTTCTCAAAGGATGTCTCTCCCATCAGAACTCTAGCTCCATAATTGAGAGCAATGTATGTGTAAGTTTATCTGGAATACACAGAAAGTTCAGCATTGCTCAAAATCAAGGCAATACTTTCAGGCCAGCAAAATTCATATTAGAGCACACCTGTCCATTCAACTCAACACTAACTATTTTTGCAGCTTTGAAACAAGAAAACTAATAGCAGCTGAAAAACCCTTGAATCAGCATCTGTATGAATAACCTGACAGCTCTTTATGGAGTGGTGGAGGAAGGAGAATGAAGGAAGATGTTCTACCAAAATTGAAATGACGACCCATTGCAGGGATGCTGTTTTTAGAAAGAATTTCTTTTCAAGGAGAATTGAAGTTACTGGAATATTCATATTATCCACCATCAGCCCTGACCCTCTCAGTCCGAGCAAGAAGTGAGGGAGACAGGGACAGTTTGTGAAGCTCAGCAGTTAGTGGGTGAGATACTGGGTACAGTCTTGGAGGGACCATTTCTTTTGGTAGTGCATGAAGTTTTTCACATGTTGGTGCTCATCCTGGACTGGCTGTTAGCTGGAGTAAGCTCCCCTTGGCTACCTTCTCTCGGAGGAGACTGCAACAAGACCAAAACACATCCTAGTTAGTGCTGTGTAAATATCCTGCAGAGTGCTTCCTGAAGAGACCAAATGAAGCACAGGTGAAGCACAGCAGGATAACAGCAGGGGGAGAGCATACCCCCAACTCATAAATAATGATGGCTTTGCAAAAGCTTTGTGTTTACAACTTCTGTAGTTACAGTTCACAAGAACTGTTCCTAAAAAAGTCTAAGTAGAACTTTAAAGCCACTCTTACTTACTATGTACAAAGTGCTGTTGGTCCCAAAAGTTGAATCCTATCTGGCATTTAGTTATCACAGAGATTAATATACTACAGAATTTAACATGTTTTGTGGCAGATGGCCTATCCTCACTAAGGGCATTCTTTGGAAACCGCATCCTGGAAGGTATACTCCAAGCAATTGATACATTTTTTACTACTTCTGTTAAAAAAACCACTTCAAGTAATCTTTGTTTTGATGAGATAAAAGATATGTGTCTCAAGAATTAGTCGGAATGAATTAGTTAGAATCAACCCAAGCATATAAACTTCAAAGGACATTCTGTGTTGTACAGGCAGGTCAATGTATTGGCTAGAAACACTTGTTCCTTATATATTTAGTGTTTACTATTGTAACAATTTGTCCAGTCATGAGCACAATAAATCCATTCCCCTCCAGAATCTTCAATCACCAACTTTTATAGTTTCAGTAAAAAAAAATTAAATGTCTCAAAGTCCACATTTAACATGCCCATACCTTGACGTGTATCTGGTTGCGCAGGACTGCAGCTCGCAGGATCATAGCTTTGGCACGTCGCTGAAACTCTTTGCCCATTAGTAAAGACTTCTCAAAAGTTGTGCTGCGCTGATCTACATCTCGAGCATAAAGAATCTGTAACCAATACAAACAGCTGTACACAGGAGCTATGACAGGTTTCCACAGCAGGAAGCCCCTTCTGCACAATGGAACAATGTTAAGGTATCATGGAGTCTGAGTTTACACACAGACCAACCCTACTGGAAACACCAATCACAACAGATGAATGCAACTTCAAAGTGACCCAGGAATGGAGAGTTTCCAATCTTAGTACAGCTGTTCAGTCTATAATCTGTGGCTCAGATACACTCACCTTACTGTGCGAGTCTATTCTGGCATTGATCAGTCCCTCCAGGATCAGCTGAGTAAGTTCGTCTTCCAGAGCAGCCACTGTGGTATTAAAGGCAGTGGCCATCTTGCGCATATCGGCTGATACATAGGGGCTGAAGTACTAGGAAGAAGAAAATACTCAGTTGCCAAATGTACTCCCTGCCCTCTGAAAAACCATGGGAAACGTAATTACAAAGAGATGGCCTATCTCACTGTTCATCCACCTCTCAGGATTACAGGAACAATTAATTACCTGGATAAGGGCACGATTTCGAATCTGGGTATAAAGTGTCCTGACATGAGGTGCAAGGTACATATCCAGCAGCAGGTTGTCCTGTGCAAAAAAACGTATCAGAAGCTGAGAAGCAGCCTGGAAAAATATATTATTCCTACGTTCTGAAACATATATGTGTATATACTTAAATCTTAAGGATATTACATGACAGCAAGACAATATCATAAAACAAGAATGAATAAAAAACTAGCAATATATTTAAAAATTTTATCATTTCTCTTCACCCTCTACTGCTAAACTACTCCCAATTTCCATTCACCACATCAAGAGAGAGAAGACACAGAAGAGCTGAACACTGAGTAGCTACTTTTAATAGTTACTGCTTCTCACAAAAGGTTAGGTGAAGAGAACTTTTAGGGTCTGTTCTGCACTGCTCCCCTGCAACTCACCTTCATCTCATCCAGCATCTTCAGGCATGAAGCATATTTAGATTCATAAAACTTGAAGATGATGTCACGAACCTGTGGCTCCAGCTCCAAAAACAATTTGAAGGAGCTGCAGATAAAGATGGCAGTGATCAGACATTGGAACCCACCACTTAAATACCCCACAACCCCATCACTCCAAGTTGCAAGGTTACAGACTCTCACTAACGTTTGAAGATTCCAAGAATTTACTCTCTAACAGACGATGCAGCACAGCATCAGAGCTGTGGTGAAAGAAGGCAAGAGGCTTTTGATAAACCAAGCAGTAGCAATGTTTGTCCACAGAAAACAAAAAAATGAGTGGGAACAGGTCAAAATCAGGATACACCCCAGAAAACATAGGACACATCTGTGCATGCACTGTAGTCTGTGCTGGCCAGCTTTGTGTTCCATTTCAAAGCAAAGCCTTCACTATCAGCATGCCATAGGTAGGTTAAGCATGCAACTGTCTCAGGAAAATAACCTATTGCAAATGTGGGAGATCTTTGGGATGCACACTTTTTCTCAGAGCTCTCCCAAATCTCCATCACAGATTTCCGAACCTTGGGATCTCAGCCTATGAATCTGCCAATAAAAAAGTTAGGGTAACAACCCTTTTTCTACATCAATTTAAAATTAGTGCTTCCATACACGTAGCTGACAGGAATTCAGTATCACTGTCATTCAAACTATGACATACAAGTACCCATTTTCTTCCAAAGACTCTAATTCTCTCAATCTTACATATATCATAGTTAGATTACACTGCAAGTTATATTAGCAATTATTAAATTGTATTAATATGATTAACATACACCAGAACAAGTGGTAACATGAAAGTAAATTATCTTACAGCTGCCTTCTGTAGGGCTCTATCCCTTTGATTTAATATCTGATATGGACAATGGATGCAGATAGAAAATTGGGATATGTAGATGTTGGATTTGACCTGGGTTGGCAGCTTCCCTTATATTATGAAAATTTCAGCTATGATTAACCACTGTGTTTTAGACAGTGAAACATCACTTAATGCTAAAGCCAAACTAAGGCTCAGTGATTCCTTCTCTCCTGTATAAGAAAGCTACTACTCCTGCCAGAATCCACTGTCAGCCAAAGAGTTGTGGTGTCCCATGCCCCAAAAGATGTCCAGTACATACAAACTCCTCTTAAGGTATCACCTACCTGCTGGAGATAACATTTCGTTGCAGTTCCTGTCGGTCAAAGGTTGCGAGGGCACAGAGACCACCGTACACAGCCACATTGCTGGGAGATAACAGCTAGAGAGAGAGAGAGAGAGAGAGAGAGAGAGTGAGCTGTCACTGACTAATAAAATGGCACAAGGCTGGAATTAAGTATTGTACCCCAGGCCTTTCCTTCACGCAGTGACAAGATTAGTCCTTGTCAAATGCAGTGGAACCACTCAGCATGCTCTCAGGCATGCACCCAGAGCCTGAGGAGTGATTGTCCACTGCTAAGAGAGCAGAAACCAATTCCAACAGCCAATCTTTTGACTGAGCTACACAGATACACAAATCTCAGAGGTAATACCTATGTGATCTACAGTAGATCATTTAAAGATCCCAAGAACAGATACTTTAAAAAAAAGCCCCCAAAAAACCAACAAAACCAAACACACACACACAAACACATGGTTCACAGCACCACCAAACCATAGAGGAGTGCTGTGAGAATAACTACAATATCTGAATTTTACAACCTACTACTTAGAAGAATTACATCCCCTCCAAGACCTGCACACAGCTTCTTCTTGGTCCTCACCTCAGGGAAATCACAGTGATCAAATGATGCCAACAAGAAGCACTTTGCTGCCTGTTTATACTTCCGAGCAGCTAGTTCAGCCAAGCCTAGGAACCAGAAAAAGTTAGTCCTTTGTTTACGATAGCGTACAAATTGGGAGAAATTGCAAAATCTGGGGAGTAGGACAGGCCCCCACATGGTTGCTAGTGCCTTCACTATTGAAGTGAAACGAGACTCTCGGACAGTATCTAGCATCCTTTGAACTACGTTGACTTACATTGGCATCCTCTCTGAAGAAACTTAGGGAGAGGAAAGAAATGGCAAAAACAAGTCAGCAGTTCCATCTCATCAGCTTTATTAAATATTGCATTTCTGGTGAGAAAATACAAAGTCTTTCAAATTTGAGAGAAAAAATAAACCAAGTACACACTGTTGTAAAAGAGCCTTATGGACAGCTAACAGGCAGAAAGACAGACAATACAGGAAGCTGAAGGATTCACTCACCTGCTGCACATTTCAGTTTGGTGAGAATTGCTTGTGTCTGGCTGTCTCTTTCTCCTCTTTGCTAAAGGATAAGAAAAAGCAGTAGTGGGCAAGCAGTATGACAACCATTTTGGTTACAACTGTCCTTGGGATATTTCATCCTAACAATTAACTTGCAAATCCCAACAGCAAGATAACTTAATTTTACTTGTCTTAGGAAATATGGCAAGAACTGAGGATGGGAAGTCTCTCTGGTTTTGCCATGAGTCAGATTTCCTACACACATATCATGGGAGAAAAGCAACAAGGAATCTCAAAAGAAATAGTACAGCAGCCAAGGAGGCTGGATTAGAGGAAGAACAGACTGTAAGATGAAGGGAGTCTTACAGGGAGGAAGTCATAAAGGGGGAAAGGAAGAAATCACTTTACAAATTTTGGAGACAGAAAACAAAGGGAAGACTCATGCAAGTTAAAAAGCAGGACCTTACTTCTGCAATTTCTGGTGTAGACTCAGCCTTGCTTACATAGCTCAGAACATGAGACCAATTCTGGAGGTAGACACTGACCTGTAGAGAGCCAGAAACAGTGTAGAACAGGCATGGATAAATGGTGTTACTTAGATAAGCAGTATCATTGCAGTCACAAGAGGTGTAACCAGAGCAAAGAACAAGTGGACTTTACAGCAGGTATCAGAAAGACACAAAGTACTATTCCTGCAAACGTTCCTACCTTGATGACATTGAGACACATGTTGATAACATGTTTAGCACTGGTGCAGTAATCACGGGCTCGCGAGTAACACTTCAGAGCGTTGCTGAGGTCCCCACAGTCAAGGTAATGATCACCTAAGTCATCATGGCCTCTCCTGGAGCACAGGAATTAAAATACCAATGAACTGTATGCTCAGAAAGGGACACAGTCAGTTTGTTCTAAACAAGTAACTCACACTGACCTAAGGCACTGAATGCAGTTGACATCCTGTGTTAGGTGCCTGGAGGAGCAAAATGCTCTTCCTTGCTCCAGCAGAGCCTTCTGCATCTCACCTGATACTCTCCTTGATGGAGTTCCCTTTGTAATTTTTCAGATCTGTGTCGAGTTTCTCCAGTTTAAGAAGAGCTTTTTTGCGTGTAGCTTCAACCCAAGCTGTGTCAAGAGGAGGGGGTTCAATTCCACTATCAGGGATAGCATCAGGTGTATTCTGCAGTTCTCTGAAAGGAAAGAGTTTAAATGGGACTAATGCTGCAAACTTTTCAAAACAGAGGTCTGCTAAGTACCTGGCATTGTTACCCTAACAAACAGTACTGCATGCACAAAATAGACCAAAGAGAAAACAAGCATGGTGGGGAAAAAAGAATGCTAAGATTTTCGGTGAAAACAGTAACATAAGCATCACAGATGCTTACAAATTCTCAAAATTATCCTAATGATCTTTTGCAGGTATTTTGTTAACAAGCAAGTCATTGTAAATTTTAAAGAAACAACCTGCTCTATAAATCAACTGAAAGCAAGTTAGTAACAGTGCTGCAATGAATTATTACATTCTATGTAAGTATTAATGACTCTTTAGAGTCATTGCATCCAATCAAATATCTCTATTTGGGACACAGTGTGCACGTTTTTACAAGTTCTCTCCCCAGATATACTACAATGACTTAATAGCAAAGCTACACTGTAAAGATACTATCCATCTTCTTTTTCCGTCCATCTCAGATCAACATATCTATTTGCACTGAACTTACTTTCCAATATTTTAAATAGAAAAACACATTCTGAGGTTTTTTTGGGGGTGGGTGGGTTTCTTTGTTTTGTTTTTTTTTAACAACAGTCCTTTTCACATATAAAAAAGCAATGAACATACTGTCACACATACATGGTAAAGACTCCCAAGGCAAAACAGACAAGAAATCAATAACTATGCATAGCAATAAAAATAATGCAAAGACAGGAAGTGAAAGATAAGTGAAGTATGAAAGGCCACCCTTAACAGCAAACCTGTTGCTAGGGGGAAAAAAAACAGGAAAAAACCCAAACCAAAACAAGTCAAACAGTTAGATAAGACTTTAATTTATGAACATAAGAGCATGTAGAAGAGGCTTCATCTCCATAATCTACCTAAGGAAAGACAACTGTGTTCGTTAATATTTGAAGCAGTTGCAAGGACTAAACTCTCTTCAATATCTACCTGTAGCCTTTTAAAACACTAAAACTTCAAAAGGAGATAATGTCTTCTGTGCTTAACGTTTTAAAAAATCATGAGACCTTAGGCCTGAACACACACATTTCAATGCTATCAAATTCTAAGGGCAAAGACAGTTTGCATAAAGAACATGCTAGTATTACATGCAAAGTCCCCCATTGTGGTACATTGGTCTTAACTGTGTCAAAAAAGCTCCCCAGGTTCCCATGATCCCTTAGTACCTGGTGGCCTCAGACAACTTTCTGTGGATTTCTTCATACACATCAACATTGAAAGTTCTCTGGACAAATGACAGTGCCATCTTGAGAGCTTCCACACGCAGCTGTGGGCAGTGATCAGCAATAAATTGCAGCCGCTCAATTCGCATCAGACCACTGTAGCTGGATGCATACTGCTCCAAATCCTGCAAATAAAACCTGGTCTTAGAAGAAGGCAAAGCCAGCAACACTAAATCAGACTACTACACTGTGACCTGCACAGGTTTTCCTGCAGTCCTGACCCCTTAGTGGAGGGCAACATGACTCAAAGAAATAAAAAAATCAAGTCAGATTATTCCATTTTTGCTTTCTTCAAACATTAGTAATTTCCTCAGAAATATGCAGTACATTACAATTTATCTTTTTTTATTTCAGTAGTGATGCTGTCCGTTAAGGCTAATCAGCTCACCCACTTTAAGCATCGGTTGTATCGCCTGTTAATAAATTTGTCAAGATTCAATCATTTGAGATGAAGTTTCCTAAACCAGACAACAATTCCAGATGTAGATTTTCATTGAAAAATAGTTTCCATATGACTGTTTGCATTCTTTTACTCATACTAGTTTCTTTAAAAATGTCTCCTCTGAGAACAAATAGGGTCTCTTACTTGTGAGGAAGAATATGAGGTTTAAATTCTGAACTCTTAACAAATTTTAAGCCTGGGGGAGGGGGGGTGGGGGAAGAGAAGCACAAAACATCTAGTAAAGATATGATACAGCATTGCAGGGAGATTTCCTAAAGACAGAAGTACACATGCAAACAACCATAGCAGAATGTTCAGGGCAAAGACAATCATTCAGGCAGTAGATTCAGGTTGCCTGCCCACATTTAATATGCATCCTATGTCATGTCTGACTCCTTCACCCCTGTAAGTCTAAATTATGATACTGCTACAGATGTCATGGTAGCATTTTCCAACATGATTCTTGCCCGATTCAATGCAAGAATGATATTGCTCTCAAACTGAAACAGGACTGTGTGAAGTGAAAATTTGTATTTAGGATTCCTGCTTTATTTGCTACAGAACTTGAAAAATACAAAGGTAGGAGCATTCTTTCTTCCACAGTTTCATGCCTGATGGTGCACAATACTCCTAAAATCACTGAGTAGTTTCATTTTACTCCTCAGCTCTTTGAATGTCAAAAGGGAATTATGGTCCTTCACATCAGTTACGGTGGAAAGAAAATCACTAATTTTTGTGGAACACTTAGATGCTATAGTAATGACAAAGACAAAAGATCACAACATAATTGCTTCGTCACTCTAGCTTCAGAACAGAATTGAAATGCAATGAAATCAAACAAAGTGTCGGGTCATACACTGAAAAAAAACCAAAACCAAACATAAAAACCAAAACCAACCAACCAACCAACAAAAAAAAAAAAAAAAAACAACAAAAAAAAGAAGGCTGTGCAGAAAACAGTGAATAACCATGTGACAACTGTTCTAAAGCACAGGGACAAGAGAATCACAGAATCACAGAATCACAGAATCACTAGGTTGGAAAGGACCTTCAAGATCATCAAGTCCAACCATCAATCTAGCACCACCATGTTCCCTAAACCATGTCTTGAAGCGCCACATCCACATGTTTTTTGAAGACTTCCAGAGATGGTGACTCCACCACCTCCCTGGGCAGCCTGTTCCAATGCCTGACCACCCCCTCAGTGAAGAAATTTTTCCTAATATCCAATCTAAACCTCCCCTGGCACAACTTGAGGCCATTTCCTCTCATCCTATCACTGGTTACTCGGGAGAAGAGACCAGCACCCTCGTCACCACAACCCCCTTTCAGGTAGTTGTAGAGAGCGATAAGGTCTCCTCTCAGCCTCCTCTTCTCCAGACAGAGAAACAAATTAAAGGAGAAGAGGAACAAATTAAAGCTTCAGAGGTTATATGAGATCCATAGCTTCGTAACCGAATGCTTTATTTTGCAATTTTAATGTTGCTTTAACTTTATCCAATTAACACTTTTGTTCTCTTCTGCAACACCCATCTCTCACTGTTACAGAGCCGATACATAAAAATTGGCCAAAATCTCAAACCATTAAATAAAAAAGGAAGATTCTGATATAAGTAAATACAGCCTTTTATAATTCTACAGCTCTGTGGGTTTTAGCCAGTCTCAAGAGGATCAAAAAATGAAAGAATTCTATCCTAATTATATATTTAAAGCACCTGAGCCTTGCTCCTCAAAGAACAAGCCTCAAAATATAGGAATGATGTCTCTGTCAGTAATCAGAGATGTACTAAAACATTTCAGAATGGAAACTGTGTCAAACAGCACACAGCAAGTCACAAAACAGCAATTCCTCTGTCATGTCAGAAGGTGCAGTAGAGGTCAGTATGTGGCAAGGAGCTACAGAAGAGGTCACTGCTATTCTTACCCCACCTTGCTTTGAAGAGAATCTATTAATCTCTAAATAACAATTTGACGAGGAGTAAAATGAGGGAGTTTTTCAAAAACCTTAAAGGAAGAGGCCACGCCCAAGAAATGTAAGCCAGCACATACCAGAGTGGGGTTCTCCACCACATAGTTGATATCAGGTGCGTTTTGCTGATCTTCTTGTGGATCTACGTCAATCTGCATGGGCTCTACTGCACCCTAGAATAGCAAAATTAGGTCAAAAGTAGCTTATTACATTTGAGCAGGAAACAACTATGTGATTCAATATTAAGGGCTTGCTTAAATACACACTAAATTTTAAAGATGAAAAAACACTCTTCAGTCTTTAGGCATGTTTAGGATTTTTCTTTAGCAACACCACTACTCAGCATGACGTTTTGACTAAAACAAGCATCACTAAGGCTCAACATTTGCACAAGCATTTTATTTTGTTTGGTAGATTATCAAGCAAGAAAGTGAAGGGGGTCAATAAATCTGATTCCACAAAGTATCTCAGGCATACATGCTAAATTCCAAATGACATTCCATTTCTCTTCCTTGAGCAAGAGCAGGCATTAACACTCAGCTCAAGAAGCTCCAAAAGTCAAAAAGTACCCAAAAAACCTCACCAGAACCTTTCAAAGCTGCTTTAATGCTTAAAAGTAATATTAAAAAAAAAAAAAAACAAAACCAAAAACCTACAACTGTTATGCTTTTTAAAAGTATTTAAAAATTTAAAGAACAGAATGCAGAATGGCAATTCCACAGTTTCTAACAAATACTGGGGAAAAATTTATCTGCCCTGCAAAAATTTACCATCAGTTGAACTATCCTACTATAGTTATCTGAGTCTAATCAGGTAGGTTCTCTTTTGCAGGAAGAACAGATTTTTACTCTCCCAATATATCTTGCACTGCTTTGAACCACATGAGGTATCATACCAGTACAGTGACCTCAGTACAACTGCATCAACACAATACTTGCGCATGTTCCCATTTAAGACCAATTCACTATGCAGTCCCACAAATAAAATTGATATGCTATCATGAAATTCTTTTCCTCTTCCTAGTCAAAAGTGTGCTGAACAGTGCCGCTAGGCATTACTAATTTAAACTCAGGAAAACCAAGCTGAATGTCTTCTTATAAAATGCTGAATATGTGCAGATATTCCCATAAGCAACACCTGGTTTGGGGTAAATTGCATGAGTGGATCTCAGAAAGGACAAAAATGCCAATCACCTTGCCCCCACCAACACCAAACTGTTTCCATGTTCTTATTGATTTTGTTGTCTGTTAATAAAGATAGAGGGGTTTTGGGGTTGGGTTGGCGTTTTGTGGGTTGTGTGAGAAGGAATAGAGCAGATCCAAATTTCCTAATTCTAAAAATTGGTGCATCTTGTATTCACCCACAGCCTGTTTATTCTCTCACAGACTGGTATGTACCAAATAATAATAATCTCAACGCTGATGTGAAATCTCCCTAAATCTGAAGCAAAAGCAAGTGAAGCTTATAAAAGTTTGTTTCCTAGTTTGTTATTCTCTGCATGAAGCAGAAGGAGAGAGGGTGTAAAGGAGAGTTTGATTGTCCAGATCACCACTCAGGAAAACTGTGCATAAAACCATTTAAGTCACCATATATTGAGACCATTTTCCACTTTTATCTATCTTATCTCTTTTGTTATATCATAAACACTAAGTGTCAGGGTTGCTTTTTTTAGGCTGTGTTTGCCTACCATAGTAAAAACCTGATATGGACTCCTTATAAGTCAGCATTACAGAAACTACCAGTGACTCCAGCTGCTGGAACAGAATGATTTCTGTGCTGCTACGCTGGTAGGCTGTACTTTGCATTTCTCTCTCAACTGCCAGACAAGGAAAAACACAAGTGGGCTGGAAGTCCCACTAGGACACGCAAACTCAGGCATTTTCAAGCTAACTCTTTATTTTGGAAGGAAGATGCAAGCTTTTCTTAAGAACTAGTCACAAAGCAAAGAAAATAATGCCCACTTCCCACGATTTTCTGAGCCCAGAAGGGCCACCCTGTTGGAAGGTAACTCATAACCTACTACGACCTGCTGCTGCAGGGAGTGCGCTACAGATCTGTCACTAATGAAGAAGCTGAGCTGCATGCTGAACTGTTCCTAACCCTTTGGGCTCCTGTGGCTTCCCCCTGTACTGCAGAGTCTGAGTTTCTCTTCCTTCTTACACCCCTCTGCACTACCCAAGCTCTACCTATGGCGCGTACAACGCGAAAAATCAAGCAAGGGGGACGCCGCGGGTGCCAGAGGACGCTCGGCTGGGCGCTGCTCCTCGCGAACGGCAGCGGAAGCAACACAGACAGACCCGGTGGAAGAGCGAGCGAGGACCCAGGGCCAGCCGAGAGCAAATCCTC